ATAACGTATTATATTGTCAAACTCAAAAGGCTTTTGATACTTAATTGTCATCATCATCATCATCTCTCCCCCCCCCCCCAGAGAGACTGTCGTCCCTTGTGGAAAACACAACAAGGAACTCCTTGGCTCCTTGCTCCCCCACAAAAATATCTTTTTGTTGTTGCTGTTGGCCACTGGTGGTCACCGCATATGATCCTCGGCGATACGCTCTTGCCCGCCACCCCTTCAAAACGCGCAAGGACAGGACAGAACAGTGCGGATCCTTTTATTAAAACCCCTTGTATTACAAAGGCATTTTAATAAAAAGATTGTGATGACATCAGTGCCTCACCAGCCATAAACCTCACCGCACGTCACTGGTAGCAATCTTCCAACCTACTTTAAAATTCCTATGCTCTTTAACTTTCCTTTTCTTTCTGTGTAACAAGCAGAAATCTCAGCAGTCCCTTTTTGTACTATCAACAAGCTCGGGGACTATCCTTCCAATGATTTTCTAGTCTGTTTTTTTTCCTCCTGTTCTTAGCACAACAGCCAGGCTTTTGATATATCACGTTGGAGAAAACCTGAGAGTCATGATTTGGAATTCAGTATAATGGTGTGTCAATAGTTTAAAATCAGCTGGTCCGGTGTATTGCGTTTATGTTTGTTAGGAGAATGCAAAATTGTACTTTAATTCAACGTAGGCCAGAAAGTCTTTTCCAGGTTTGATATTAAAGAACTTGATTAGTTTTCTATATATGCAGTGAATGAAAGTAGTTACTGTTTTGGGTATTGTTAATAGAAGGACAGAGTCACCCATTCTCAGTGTGTGAACAAACCTTTCTTGAGGGGAAAGACAATAGATTGTACACAGCAGCTCCTTGCTGGAGCTCAGGCTGACCCAAAACAAGAACAATTTGGCACCTGCCTGCCTGAGGCGGCCAACTAGCTGAGCATCTGGGAAACACTGAAGAAGGCACACAGCCCCTCCCCCTCCGGCTGCCTGAACACGGTCCTGGCAATCATACAGGTTGTTTTGGGGTATAGACAGCACCTGGATGCCTGTGCCGGAGTATGATAATTATCCCAAATCAGATAAATTCTCTTGGAGGCACTTCCTGAAATTATGTTGATAGTACAGCAGTTACATTGAGAATTACAAATTATGGCCCAACCATGTGCCTTTATGAAATCAGCAAAGACAAATTTTGGCTGATGATCGAAAGTAAAGTCATTGTGACTGTCATTTTGCATGTTAATCTTACACTGCCATTGAAAATTAAGAGAGAAATGTATGCAGGTAGAAATTGTCTGGGCTGCGAAAATTATAAGAGAGTGGGTGCTAAATCATGTCAAACTGACACAATATTTAGAGGTAAAGGACTTATGACCGAAACTTCAAGGAAACTTTACTCATATCTGCTTTCAGAAAAAGTTGACATATTATTCTTTTACAAAAAAAGCCACTTCATCTAAGAATCTCATACATACAGATTAGCAAATTGAATCCCATACCTACATACTAGCTCCCATACATACTAGCACAAAGATTATGACATACATAAAGTTGTTAAACATAGAAGCTCCTTAAGACTTCACATTTGACTTAAGGTAAGATCAAATCTCCATGCTGAATTTGATTCCTGGCAACCTCATGGACATGTCTGTACATTTTTATTGGAAACAATTTAGAAGAGATTTGCCTTAGACGAAGATGACGACGACAACAACAACAACGGAATGGAAAAAGACAGTCTAGCTTACAGTTCCAGTGTTTCCTGGTGATCTCTTATACAAGTATTAATCAGGACTTACTTACCAAGTACCTTGTAATCGTTCTTATATTTTCAAAATTAGCCAATGTTGGCTAAGTGCTGCCACCAAGAGGAATATCCACTTCATGCACAGCATATAAGATTTTAGATTTGTTGAGCATATTGTTGCAGGATGTATGTATGTACAATGAGCAATATCTTTAACATAATTAAATTGAAGTGAATATTCTTTGGAATTAAAATAAGTCCTTTCTTAAGGTGCCAGATCAGATATTATTTAATTTTATATGACCTCCAGTGACTCTGGATAATTACAAATAAAAACATTAAAAAGACGAGAAAAAGCAACAATAGGCAAACATGAACAGGTAGCAAGGCTGACAAAAAGATTTGCCTGAATTGAAAAGAAACACACAGAGACACAAATCAAAGGGGAACTTTACGTATGCTTGCCAAAAGCCTAAATGAAGACGCAAGTCTCCAACACCTTTTGAGACACCAGCAGAGTGAGAGCCATCTGGCTCTACTCAGACAGATGGCATTGTTTAATTGATGGAAACTGGAGGGTGCCAACCCTGCCTGATTGAATTCATTGGGCAGATACTATGGGAAATAAGCAGTCCCTCAGGTTAACAGGTCTTATGCCTTTATAGGGAATGACCAACATTTTAAACCATACCCAGACGCAAACTGGCAATCACGGTATGTTGAAAACCTGTTATATGGGCAAAACTAAGGTGTTACATGGGCATATCAAGGCAGGGGTCCTAACCCCCAGGCTGTGGCTCACTGCTGGCCATGAGCCCTTAGGAACCAGACCGTGGAAGTGGTGGGCGAACACGCCCATGCACGCAGCTCCATTTACACAAGTGGAGATCATGTGGGTCCACTGCTTGCACAAATGGAGCTGTGCATATGTGCTCACCCACTCCTATGGCCTGGTTGTGAAGGGCAGTGGGCTGCAGCCCAGGGGTTGGGGACCCTCGATCTAGATCCATTCAAGTCTAGTTTCAGGCCAGGATTCAGTACTGAGGTGTAACTATGTAGGTCTACTGAAAAATAAACCTGAGTGGATTTGATTTTTTTAAAAACCCTCCAAGATAAGAGATTCTATATGTTTCTATACCAGATTGCTCAACTCTTTCATTAGTAGAAATACTTTGAAAGTTGTCATTTGTCTTATTCCCCCCCCCTACCTATTCAGGTTCTTTATTAAATCAGAAAAAGGCATTAAAACTTAAAGATACTTATGCTTATGTAATTGCAATTTGTCACTTTAGACAAAGACAGGCTATGATTGTCCCACAATGATGTCATTTTCTCCAAGTGCTGATTCCGAAGCCCAAAACAGGTAGAGATGAATAATGGCATGTGAGTCCCTTGAGGAAGGTGAATAGAATTTTGCTTTTCTACTGCTAGTTCCTTATCAACAAACTGGGTTCAGCCTAAGCTCATAACTTTTACACGACACACGTACACTCATCCTATTTTTGTTCTTGATCTGCCTCTTTCAGCACTGGACTAGTTTATTAATCAAAGGAATGCTCACTAAGATTGTAACTGTGAGAATGTACATCAAATTTGCAAGATTCTCTTTAATTTTTCCTACAAGATCAGGATTCAGCACCTTACAGCCAAATATAAACTGTGATTAAAAAAGGGGGTGATCATAAACATAAGTTGCAGAAACAGTTCAAGAATTTAACAATAGCATTTAGATTTACATACTGCTACATAGTGCTTTGTAGCCCGCTCTAGGGCTCTCAAAGTGGTTTATAGGGTCAATATATTGACCCCAACAACCTGGGTACTCATTTTACAGAGTTCAGAAGGATGCACGTCTGAATCAACCTTGAGCCAGTTAGAATTGAACTCCAGACTGTGGGTAGAGTTAGCTGCAATACTGCATTCTAACC